GTGCAAAATTGTGCTTAGCACCCTTAAGTTTGTGCATTTAGGTGCTAGTCATCTAATTTGCCACCTTAGCCTAGTTTAGAGAGGAAAATCCTCCTGTCAAGGGAGACTCAATCGAGTTGGTTTTCCTTCCGCTTTCTAAGCCACCTAAACTAGGTTGAGTTAGGGAAACCCTCAATATTGAATTAAACAAGTCGATTAATCGTGGTTAAACCGTCCGACCTTCAAGTTGAGTGAGGAAGTAAGCCGATTACCGATTGTCTAAACCGAGAGGGTCGAGTGACACGGCCTTTCATCCTCACTTCGGTTTAGCAATTGAGACTGTGGTCTCCGACCACATACGCTTTCCTCTGCGGTTCACGATTAACGTGCCCAAGGCAATCGTTTCAATCCAACGAGTCTTGGTAGCTAGTTAGAGTGAAGCAACTCCTGGGTGAAACTCCCTTAGTTAGGATTTTCCTTTATTTACTTTTCCTTGTTAGTTTAGTTTGTAGTTTTCTTAGTTCTAAACCCAAAAGTTCTTTGCTAGATAACAACCTAAGCGATTGAAGCAGGGGTACATGGACCGACCCGGGTTGACAATTTAAATACTTGCTCTATACTGCACCCGACTAGAGTTTAAAAACTTGGGCTCTAGTCGGGATTAATTTGTGGTATAGTTTCGTGCGTGTCAAGTTTTTGGCGCCGTTGCCGGAGATCCGCGGTCCATTATTTTGAAAAGGTCGCTTAGTGTTACTCTAGCATTTTCTATCTTGCCTTTTTATTTGTGTTTTGTGTTGTATTTTGTTTACCCACTCTTCTCTTAGAAGGGTGGTTTGTGTTTGTTTGATTTTGTTTTTGTGTTTTTGTTTATGTAGGTTGAATCATGGATCCCAATGGCGGATCTATTGATATTGTGTCTGTCTGGATCAAAGGAGATTAGAGAGTTGTAATATTCAATGCAACCAAAGTCTAGATTCTATGTAAAAGCGAAATGATGGGCAAAAGTAGAAACGTAAAAGTGTAAGATTTTAAACATTTTATAAATTTTATACAAAGTTCTTAACAATAAGTTTTAGTTTGCGATATATAATCAAATAAGAGAACTAACTCATATATTAAATATCACTCTCACACATTAACTAAATTAATAAAATTTTAAACTAGCAACTTCTAGTCTATGTAATTGCCCCAGAAAAACAATGTCATATATATATTGCATGTTCTCTAAACATGATGTTCAATGTACAAATCCACCCATATTATTAGGCTCCACACATTTTATAAGAAATAGAAAGATACAAAATTAACAGGGAAGAGTTACACAATAACACATGCTTATAGTTCCCATGCCATGTGATGTGAGGTCCATGGTGCTTCCTGGTGAGGGTTGTGATTGTTAGGGAATTGGGTCCCCCCTTAATTCTTGTCCCCAATCTTCTGTTGCATTTCCAATCCCTACATCTGTGCTATAATAATAATCATCATCTCCTTTTGGGTTGATCTCCCAAACCTTCCCACATTCCCATGATCAGAAGTTCACAAGCCAAATCTCATCTGTCAAGACTCAAGGAGAGATCCATCCAATAAAAACTTACAAGAGAGCCAATCCGTTTATTGAATGTGAATTGAATGTACCATTTGGATCGTCTACTTGTTCATTATCGGTTGTTACATATACGTACAATTATAAATTACTTATCAACATTTCATCACATTGAGTGAAATCACATGTGCAATGTAACGGTATAAATAAGGTCATCATGTTAACAACCTCTTCGTTTGGGTGAGGCAATTTGGCCCAACTACCTCATTCTACATAAATTTGGATGGATCAAGGAAGAACAAGTATTATAAAATGATACATCCAAATTTGGGAAAAAATCTCAAAGTACACATGTTATTAAAAAATATTCTTAAAATACACACGTTTTATGAAATATTCCTAATCTACACATGTTTGAGCTTCATTGCGGCTGTCAGACGCAGTGAACAATATCACCGCGGGCGTCAGACACGGTGAACGCTTCACCGCAATCGTCGAAGGCAGTGAAAACTTCATGGCTATTCACCGCTGATGTGCCAAGCCGTGATGGCCTGATTACTTGATAAAATGCACAATAAATACGCAGACCCATGATTGGTGGTAACAGCCAAAAACTTGTTTGCTTTGTGCCATTAATCCTCCTCCCGTCAACCTAAAGGGTTGGTCAGAGAAGGGAGATAGAGAAAGGAATACCAATATGACCCTCCAACCATACCTTCCATCCATCCATCTAGGGCTCGCATTCCTTTCCCAAATCAGCAGCTGTAGGACGCGGGGTTGATGGTGGAGAAGAAGAAGCCCGGCAGCTTCTCAACGCCTCCGCAACACTCGCATCGGGGAGTGTCTCGTTGGCGACGGCGACAACGCGAAATCGGCCAGGGATTTTCCCCCAGGGATTTGATACTAACCCAGGGATTTTTCCCCCAACCCAGCCGAGGTTGAATTTCATTTATCTGGTCGCCGCATACAATATTGATTCCCCACCGGCTTTTCTCAAGCTTTCGCCTCTCATTATTTCGCCTCCAATTAATTAACTAGGGATGGCAACTTTGCCCATGTCCATAGGTTTCTTACTATCCAAGCCAATTGGGCTGGGTATGAAATCCAAATAGATGGATATGGGTAGAGTTTGATGGGTTTGTACCCATACCCATTTACTTTGGGTTGAGTTGGGTTTATATCAAATGGATTTGGGTTTGTACCCATGCCCAAATACAAATTACAGTTTGGTACCCAAACTTAATAGATATGCATAATTAGTACCTAAATTTAATTTTTTTTGCATATAAGTCCTCAAAATATCGATGGAAAATTACGTTTTGGTACCTAAATTTTTTTGGTCTTACATTTTGGTACCTAAACTTTTCAAATTTTACAAATAGGTCCAATTTTTGCATGTGTAGTTAAAACACCCTCAAGTAAATGGATATCCATATCCAACCCATACCCATTTAGATTATAGAAGCCCCAAACCCATCTATAAACCCCTAAATCCATATGCACTTCACCCATACCCAACCCATTATCAATGGGTCTACTTGGGTTTGGGTATAATTACACATGGGTGGGTAATTTGCCATCCCTATAAGTAACCATCTAATTAACTAATCAGGCCATCACCGCATGGGACGCCAACGGTGTGACCAGGACACGGTGAAGCCGAAACATGTGTAAATTCGGAATATTTCATAAAATATGTGTATTTTGAAGAAAAAAATTAAGAACATGTATACTTTGGTATTTTTTCCTCCAAATTTGCCTATTTTCAATCATTTGATCGTCCAAACCAAGAGTCAAACTCGAGGAAGAACACTTGATGATGAAAACGCAAGTGGAAAAGGCAATTCAAAGACCCCACCCTCACACACTAGACAGGCCATAGCCAAAATCTAGTGAAAGAGCCAACTCATTCACACTCTGCCTAACTAATAAGGACCGATAGTCTCTTCACGAATCATCATCACCATTGATTTCCCATTCCCTAACCTACTTGGACGTAGACACTAGACCAGAAAGGGAGGCAGAACGATTAGTACATTTGCCTTTACCTCATAAAAAAGGCTGCCCTGTTAGAAAAGGGTTTTACTAATGAGAAGTTGGAGTGGGTAGAAACAGAATTCCACATCATAATAGCATGCACATTATTATTATTATTATTAACAATACAATCTTCTTAGTATATATGAAATAGCACAGATCTAGGTGTACGATTGATGATCGTGATTGGTATGAGAATTAGGGATTTGGGATGAGGTAGAATTTGAGAATTAGGGTTGAGAGAAGAGGATTCCGGGCACCGGGATGGTGGCCGACGGGTTGGAGAGGGGAAGAGGGGGTTCGGCTATGAGAGAGGAAGAGAGAGAGAGCTTTAGGGAATAATTTTGTTGTTATTGCTTAACCTTCCTAGGCCTAACACAGAATATATATAAACCGACTAATTCCCTATAACTACCCAAAGACTTAACCTAACCGATTTAACCCCAATAATTCCCGAAATAGCCGACATAACATAAAACGTCCAAATAACAAATAAACCCTCAATAAATGACTATCTAACATCCCATCCCCCTTGGAATCCACCTTGCCCTCAAGGTGGACCTTCTTTCTTCTCTTCCTTCTTCTCTTCTGCTTCACGCGCCTCTATTTCCTCTCCTTCATCTTCCCAGTTCCCAACCAACAGCATTAGATGACCCTTGGCGCACTGATGCCCCACCGTGTACCTCTCGTCGCAGTTGAAGCAACGACCGTGTTTGCGCTATAGGTCCATTTCTGTCTGAGTCAGCCGGACAAACCCCTTCGGTGGCAGCCTTGACTGGAACCTGTTCCCCGATGCTGCTCCCGTGGCTGCCGGGCTTGCATTTCCCGACGGCGGTGAGGTACCGGCTCCTGCTCCCATTCCTCCACCGGCTTTCTGGATACGCCCAGCCGATGTCCTCCAACTAGCCAACTCCTCTTCCTTGCGCCCTGCAATCCTGAAAGCAACTCGAAGAGAGTCAGGTTCAAAAACCTTAACGGCGGTCGCCAGCTCGGGGCGAAGCCCCGCCATGCACAGCCCCACCAGGGCCTCCTCCGTCATTTCCTTGCACTGGTTTCCCATCTTAAAGAACTCTGCGCGATACTCGGCCACCGACCCTATCTGTCTGAGCTTGGCCAGCTGTTCCGGAGCCCAGCCCTCTGCCTTGCCAAACTGGTAGCGCAGCTCATCCTGGAACCTGGGCCATGTTATGACCTCACCGGCCACTGCATAAGCTCGCTCAGTCCATTCCCACCACTGGAGGGCGTCTCCCTCAAGATAGAAGGACGCTAGATGCGCTTCCGCTCTTCTCGGATCGAGTGGTTCCTAAACCACCTCTCATCTACATACAACCACAAACCCACATCTCCCGAGCTGTCGAACTTGGGAAACTCTATCACTGGCGGTTTAGCTCTAAATACCAATTCCTCTTCAGTCTCATACAGAGGGTTATGATACTCATACCTGCCTGTGTTCGGTGGTGGTGGCTGATTCACCGGTCATTGACGGTAGTGACTGGCCGCGGCTCGCTGCTGGGGAGGGTAGGGCCAGTCACCCGTCACCTCCTGGTGGTTTCCGGTGTACTCAGGCTTGGTCCCCGATCCTTGCCCGATGTCCCGACAACCTCGATCGCGTCCCCCTCCTGCTCGCGGTGTACTCCACGGGGGGTACCCGTACTCCGGGCCCTTGCCGGGACCCCTGGTCGGCCCGTTCCAGCTACTGCCCGCCTGTGGGTGACCCGAATCGGGTCTGTTTGACCAGCTGGCCACCCCGTAACCGGTCCGATTCGGCCCGGCTTCGCGCCGGTGACCCAGCCCCATCTCGCCTCCTCTGGGCTCGGGTCCATCCAACCCTCCGGATCACCAAAACTCAACTCCTCCTCGGGCCAGGGTTCTTCTCCATCAGGCCCAAGCGACCACGGCTCTCCTTCGTACCCCGCCATCTTCTGCTTTCCACGGGCCTTGTCTTGGGCCAGATCCGTCGGTGTCGACAGCAACCCAGGCCCACTGAATGCAGGCGCGGGTGCGCTCCTCGCGCCCACAGTTCCCGTCTCCCCGGCTCGGCTACGTTGCACGGTCGAGCTACCCGGCGCTCCGCCCGCCGCGGCCAGGGCCCACGTCGCCCCCGTCGCGTCACAGCCGGCCGGCGAGTTCTCCTCGGCCGCTTCCTCCTCCCAGCGCGCCCCCGCCCCGGTCCGACCAGCGCCCGTGCCCGCGCCTTCGCGCAACTGCTCCTCCTGGCGAGCGGCCCTCGCGCCGCTGCCCACCGTGGCTGCCGCGGCCGTCGCTACCCTCGCCGCGATCGCTGTCGTAGGCGCCGCCCCCATGACCGGGATCACCAACTGCTCCCGGCTCTTCAGAACTTGGGTTAGCACCTCCTGCATCGTCGCTGCAAGGGCTCCGCAGATGTTATCAGCCACACTCTTGCCCATCTCTTCGATAGAAGTCTTGATTTGGTCGCCCATGGCTTCGATTGCTCCGATCGAGCCCTTAGAGGCCTCGGCTGCCCTCACAGTCACCTCTGTCAAGCTCTCCAACGATGCTGCCAGCGCATCGTATTTGCTCGTCGTCACATCCTTGAGTGTCACCACCTCCTTGAGCTGGCGCAGCGGTTATTGTTTGTCCGCAGGGTTCGACATCTTCAAACTGCAGTATTTCTTCAGAGAATCGGCACACCAGCCAGGCTCTGATACCACTGAAAGAGCACGGATCTAGGTGTGCGATTGATGATCGTGATTGGTATGAGAATTAGTGATTTGTGATGAGGTAGAATTTGGGAATTAGGGTTGAGAGAAGAGGATTCCGGGCACTGGGATGGTGGCCGACGGGTTGGAGAGGGGAAGAGGGGGTTTGGCTATGAGAGAGGAAGAGAGAGAGCTTTAGAGAATAATTCTGTTGTTATTGCTTAACCTTCCTAAGCCTAACTCAGAAGATATATAAACCGACTAATTCCTTATAACTACCCAAAGACTTAACCTAACCGATTTAACCCCAATAATTCTCGAAATAGCCGACATAACATAAAACGTCCAAATAACAAATAAACCCTCAATAAATGACTATCTAACAATATAGAGCTGCTCATTAGCATCCAACTGCAGAAAATCCAAATATAAACCTTTCTGCCCAGAGTACAGTATGCTCATGCTGGCTATATAACAAAACAGAACAAAGGCTTCTTTTTTCTTTCTTCCTTGGCTGGCTGGATTGTACATACATACATTACCTGACAAACACATTAATACACATCTCTTCTCCTTTTCTCTTATAACAGCTTCCCTGAGTGAGGATTACCAGTTACAGAGCAACCAAAAACAAAAACAAGGATACTCCCTAAAAAACTGCATCCATGCTTTTTTAGTGTTTCCTTCTTTTCCTCCCCCATTTAAATAAACCCCCTCCACTGTCAATTAGCACATCCCTCTGATTTCTCCCTGAATCATGGGCTGTGGTGGTGGTGGGCGGTGGTGTGGTGGCATTATGGTACTCTATATTAATTTATTAATAATAAAATTAATACTCTATTATAATTTGCTAATTCATACAAAAGGTGAAGCCAAAAAGAAAGGAAGGAAGGAAGGGTTGGGGTATACGAAGTTTGTGCACTGCCCAACTGTCCCGGTTGCTTTGCTTTTGCTTTAGCTTTTTGCCCTCCAAAAACAGAATTTGGAAGAATTCATTCTTCATCTCATTCCCTTTTCAACAGTTAACCCCGACTGCCAACCCTGTACATCAACAAACACACCAACCAAAATCCAGTTCAGAAACCAGTCCGGCAAACCATGCTGATTAGGCCCAGGCACCAACCGCAGTGACCATTAAAATTCGCGATGTACAACGACATGTGAGCATAATGCCATGAAGACTCACTCAAATCTCAATTACTAGCATAATCAGCGGAGCTCACATGTCGACCAGTCAGTGAGAATCCAGATCCTAATTAATTAAATGGACTTGCTACCTAAATTTCCGGCCCTTTAATTACAACCTGTATTTGTCAACTATCCGGTCCGTCAATGAATAATAAAAACCTAAACACCGCCTTATCTTGACAATTTACGCCCTTATCTTTTGAAAAATCTTGAGCCAGTTAGTTAAAAAGGACTTCCAATTATACAGTCCACCATTACAATTTACAAAAGCAAGCAGTTCATTTACTGTGCTCTCTCCCGTGACTCCACCTAGGAAGCTGTTCTGGGGCCCACTTATGGTAATAGGAAAAGGGAAGCTAACTTCCGTCCTACAAAAGAGGGGGGCATATGCAACCAAATCTAGACTGAGTTTAGGGTCCACGGGAAAATATACATGTACGCTGGAGATACCGGACACTTGGCACCATCTCATTGGCAGGAAAACGTCACCCAAGGAGAGAGGGTAAAAAATGTACCTTCACAGATGGCGGGGGAGGGGAGCTAGGGGTGTTAGTGTCTTTTCAGGCCTTTATTCCCTCCACGTCCTGGAGAAGATACTCTTGAGTCTATTACCGGCGAGTCTCTGCAACGCCTTCTTGGCTCCGGCGACTTCCATCTCCGTCAGCCGTTGCAACTGCGGGTACGCTCCGGCAGCGACGAGCCTCTTCCGGCACCCGCCGCTGCCTCCGCTCAACAACGCCGTCACCACCATCACCGGAAACTTCTTCGCCACCGCCTCGCACTTCGGATCCAACATTTGTACCAATCTCATCACGCTCTTCTCGTCCCTCACCAGCTCCTTCCGATTCGTTTTGACTGATAATAGAGAGACCAATGCATCCGAGGCCGATTCCTGGAGCCCCGCCGGCTTCGGCGACTCCATTAGCTTCACTAACGAACTCATACAGCTCCCGATTGCTCGCTTGTTCCCGTCGCTGGGGCATATGTGAGATACGAGAGAAGCCGACAGTTGTTGCAGCTTTAGGTTTCCGTGCTGGATTAGTTCGCCGAGCCGGACGACGAACGCTGTCGACGATGATAAGATCCGGGAGATCGATTCCGATGCCGCCAGAGAAGTAATAGCGCGCAGAACGTGCTCCACCGTTTCCGAGCTCGACAAATCTTGAATCAAGTGCATCAATCTCTGCAATCCCCTTTCCTGGATGATTAGCGACCGGAAATACTCGCCGGAACCGGCCAGAATCGATAAACAGTGCGCCGCCTTCTCCTGCGCCGACGCTGTTCCGGAGACCAACAAATTGACCAGAACAGGAACGGCGCCTTCCTCCACCAGAGCCATCTTGATGTCGTCAACGCCGGCGACGTTCCGAATGGCGCCGACGGAATGTGCCTGCGTAGCCAGAGATCCCGACCGGCACGCCTCAATCAGCACCGCAACGCCGCCGTAGGCGGCAACAGCCCAGCCGTTGTCCGCATCGGCGGTGATGGCTTCCACCGCAACCGCTGCCTTCTCCTTCAACATCATCGAACCGGATTCGACAACTCTCAACAGAGGCCCCAATCCACCTTCCTCGAACACAATCTTCCTCGACTCGTCGCTCGCCGACGACGCCAGGATCGACACGGCCAAAACGGCGCAGTCTCGAATCGTCGGCTGGTGGTGGAGATCCAGTAGGCTAATCAGGTATCCAATGTTGCCCTCGTTCGCCACCAGAGCCGCGGATTTCTCGTCGTCGCTGAGAATCTCGAGCAGAGATTCGAGCGCCTTCTTCTTGAACTCTACCCCGCCGATTTGCAGCCTGGTGAAGAGATCTCTGATGAAGAACACGAGCTCCTCCTTCTCCGACCCCGGGCCCGGCTGGGACAGAACGATGGCGTTGGACTGGTTGAGGACGCCGGATCTGAGCAGCAAATCGAGGTCGTGGAGGAGGCTGGAGAGCGTGGAGGAAGCGATGTCGAGGTCGCTCTGGAAGAGCAGCTTGCCGCCGGGGAAGGCGGAGGCGGAGAGGTCGTTGCATTGGGCGGAGAGCGCGTGGAGTCGCTGGAGCGTGGAGAGGAGATTCGGTAAGAGAGTATGGAGGAGAGGATTTTGGGACCAGTGAGGGGAATCGGAGAGGGAGGCGAGGGATGACTGGAGGGAAATCAGCTTGGACCGGACAACCTGCCACCGGCCGATGAATGAACGGACGGAGAGGGAGGAGACGAGGAGGAGGGAGAGCACGCCATTGATCAAATCGAGCAGCGTCTGCGGCGGCGGCGGAGTGACGGTGGTGGGGGTGGAGGTATGCATTAGAGAGCGAGAAGGGGAAGGGAAAGGTAAAGGTAAAGGTCTATGACCGGCGACGGCGGTGGCGGAGGGAGTCAAAGTCAGGGGGGTAGACGCATGAAACGAGGAAGGGTCTGTTTGGCTTTGGCGAGGGGGAAAGGGAGAGAAAGAGAGGGAAAATGAGGCGGGGAGTGGGGGGGAGAGATAGGAGAAGAAAGAAGTGATTTCTTTTTTCTTTTTGTTTTTGGTTCGGTTATGAAGTTATGAGTTCTTTTCTTGGTTGTTCTGGGCCGGTTTAGTGCTTAAGGAAATAATAAAGTGGGCTTTAATTTATAACGCAGCAGAAGAAGGAAGATGTGGGGGACTGGGAATGACTCAGTGGTCAGCTTTCATTTGTCTACCTTTCATTTCTTTTTTCCAAGACTTTTTATTTGTGACGCGTCAACTTGTTGCTTTTGAGTTAAAGAATCATTTCCCTTGTTTAGTCACCGATTGACTTGGAAACTAAGAAACTTATATTGTAGTTAATTAATTTAATTTAATTAATCTCCTTCATGGAACGCACTTTGTGAGTATTGTGAATGCAAATGAAATACGAGGTGCTACTGCCTACAGGGGTCAGAAGCTAAGTCGACTGAGATGAGAAAATATATTAGGAGTATGGTTCGATTTTTCGTCTCACGTCATTATTATTTGACAATTATGATTCTTGAATAAAGAAATTGTCGTAATATTTACAAAACATGGATAGCGATTGGATCTTTCTTGCTCTTGGTATTCATATGCTCGAGAGGGAACAATTTTAACACAAACCTTAAGATATCAGAGTACAGAATGATATCACGTCTTTTTTTAGACATTTAAATTGGTATGTTTATGTTAAGACGTAAATGGAATTTTCAATAGACCAATAATTAGGCACTTTCCCTGTTACTTAATTTTGAAATTATCTCGTTCAACTCCGGCAACTTGCATTGCTCTAATTAAATGTGGCAAATGGATTAGTGAATTCATATATTTGGATCAAATAGATTGGTGGTTTCATGCAATGGATCATATGAATTTATGAAATGGATCATGTATCCAAGTGATATCTAAATAATTTAGGAAGCATAACCATCTTGAAGACCATAACCAACAAGACTCCTTCTAATGAACTCTGAGACTCCATACATGTGAAGTTTCAGGGTGAAGGCCAAGATGCAAGTTCTCATAAGGAACTTTGAACTTCTGGAAATGAAGGAGGGTGAGTCAATTACTGACTATTTTCTGGGGTTATGGTAACCGCCAACAATATGAGAAACTATGGAGAAACAATAACTAATGGAAAGATAGTAGAAAAGATTTTATGAACTCACACTGCGCAATTCAACTATGTAATATGCTCTATCGAGGAGTCAAAAGATTCACTAGCTTACTGTTTATGATCAGCAAAGTCCACTCTTAGTACATGAGCAAAAGGTCTGTAAACGTAATAAATAGTCTTTGACTGAAGGAGATCAAGCACTTAGAATCTCAGATGACTTAGGAGGTAGAGGAGGAAAAGGTCTAGGAAAGGAAATTATCCGGGAAGAGGAAGAGAAGAGGGGGCATGAGCTGGAATAGATGAGTTGTTCAGTGCTTTAAATGCCACAAGCTAGGGCATTCCAAAAATAAATGCCCTGAGTGCTACTCAAATCAACAGACTCACTTCACCAATGTCGGTCCAATAATGACGATGAAGAGGGCGATTTTGACAATCCAACAGATGTTCTAGGACTACCTAGTACTGTTCTAGGCAAGAGAATTAGAAATCCACCAGCTCATTTGTCAATATGTGATTGCAGTTAAACAACAGATGATTGGATGGTCATGGTGTTGTAACTGATGATCCACAAATATTTGAGGAAGCATGCCTAGTTCCCAGCTGGAATGAGGGAATGCAATGAGAAATGACTTCCAATGAAAAGATTCAGACTTGGACCCTAAGCACACCTCCTGAAGATGCATAGCCAATTGGCTCAAATGGGTATTTAGAACAAAAGTGGAAGAAGAAGACTCAATTGACAAGTTCAAGGATAGACTTCTAGCAAAGGGGTATGCTCGGAAGAAAGGTATAAACTATATTGAGGTTTTTGCACCTTTATCTAGACGGGACACCATCAAAACTCTTCTAACTCTAGCAATATAGCATGGTCTAACAATATACCAAATCGATGTGGAAAGTGATTTCCTCCATGGTGAGCTCCCTGGGGAGGTTTATGTTGAGCAACCTCAAGGTTTTGTGGTAGGTGGGAATGAAAAACTCTGTGTGGGCTTAAACGAGCTATTAGAGCTTGGTACAATAGGATTGAAACCTACTTTGTGAAGACAAGGTTTGAGAAGTGCCACTTCGTGATGGCTAGAGAGATTTCTTTGAGAGAGGCTCTCGTTCGAGCAATAGAGAGAGATGTTTCGTGAGAGTGGGGGGAGCTCGGGAGTTTCTGTTTTGTTTTGCAGGTCTGGTGTAGGTGGGGAATTGCAGTATGCCAAAGCTCAACGAAGGTCTTTGCGGATCGTCCGGATTGGGCATAAGACACTAGCTCTAGAGCCGTATTCCATGAAAACCAAGAGCTATTCAAAATTAGAGCAGAGGGATCTCCCAATCGGAGTCGTTTTATCTACCTTAACGGAAGTCAATTGCTCTGGCTTCATGATACTATGCCATTGGTGTCGGCCAAAGGTTGGTTGCTTCCTGAGAAGTGTGAAAAGTTTGCAGGAGGGAGGAGGATTAGGATATGGGATAACTCAAATATATTCGAAAAGTGTATCAAGATTTAGGAGACTAATGAGAAGGGACGCTCGTTTTGTATCATCACCCCAGCAGTGGAGTCTTTTTTCTGGTTGGTCAGACTTCATAGCGGCATTGAAATCTTACTTGAAGCATCCTAGAACTACTTATACCTCTGGGTCGAGGAAGATGGGTTTGGGAGATACAGCCTTGGTTCCAGGAATTACTTTCGCCAACATGGTCAGGAATATGGGGTGAGCTACATCGATATCAAGGAAGATGGGGTTGAAGAATGCCTACATTTCCTGGATAAAGTTATTACTCTGCATTTCTTCAACAAGCACAATAAAGGTCTACCATATTGCTTCTTGGAAGATTTCAAAGCGTGGGCACAACAGAGATGGTCTTTGCCAGAGAATTCCAAGTTTCCAACTACAGCGGGACTTAGTTATGCTGATATGTCCATCTTTGGCTGAAGTTGTTTGCCTTGAAGAATTCAGACACGACAAGTTCAAGGGTTTCAACGTCATCCTTAGAACTTGAAAAGAGGATTATGAAAGAGATTTTGCTGCACAAAGTGGTCTAAGATGGTTGTTGGCCTTTCGTGTCCCCTCACACCTAAAAAGTGTGGACGTCTGCTAAAAGATTGGCGATCTCTGCGGAGGATTTGTCGATGCTGATCGGGGTAACTCGAAGGATCCTTTACTCAAAATTAAGGTGAAAGTGAGTATGGAGTTACCAGCGAAGATCTTCCTTGTAACACCCCGATTTTGGGTTCTGGTTTAACCATATACGTGAATAGTTGGATTCACGGTTACATATGAAGAGTTACCATCGCGGATTAATAATAATATTATATTATTATTGTTACTATTATTAATTACAATATATATATATATATATGGTTTAGGCTAGCGTACGTCCGGACGTACGTTAGACTATCGTACGCCAGTTTGAGTTTTGCTATTTAGATCATGAATTAACTGAAGTTTTGGGCATGATACTATACCCTAACCATTAATGGATAAACCCCAGTCCCTAGTTTTCTAACCCAAATCATGAGATTCGTTTAATCTTAAAATGAAAATCAACAATAATTTCGATGAATCAGAACCGTTGATTTTCATTTCAAGATTAAATGAATATTATGCTTTGGGTTAGTGAATTGCGGACTGGGGTTCACCCATTAAGGGTTAGGGTATAGTATCATGCCCCAAACTCCGGTTAATTCATTGTCTAAATAGCAAAACTCAACGGGCGTCCAGAAAACCGTCGCACCATTCTGTTCCACAATGCGAGCATGAAGAAGAAGGGAAAAAAGGGAGCGTCGGCTGCCCCCAATAGCCGCCTCCCTGTTTCTCGATCTAGCCACATCCCTCTCATGTCCCTCGGTATGGATTGCTAATTCTTTCACGATTTCCAAACTCGATTCATTGATAGTCTAACCTTAACCCGTCAATCTTGAACTCTAGCGTGACGACAAGGAATCGAGGTTTAATCGGTAGCCAATTCAGGAAATCGACGTCCCTGATTTTTGAATTTGAACCTAGGCACATTTAAGAGGTAAGGGAACTCGATCCCTTTAAATTAGATTGGTGGTTTTGGTGATTTTTTGTCTGGGTGCAATTTTGGGTTCTAGCAATGGACTTTACAGGCTTTTAGCGACAAATTTTTAGTGGTCATTAAAGCTGCAAGGAATTTCCATAAACGTGTTTTAAGTTGTGTAAATTGTTTTGAGCCTTTGCAGGTGATTTTTCAAGGTGTAACAAATTTCTAAATTGAAGGAGGTCTAGAAGATGACTGTTATTTCATTTGAGAATTTTTGAAGGTGAATTACTATTTTTAGAAATTGGTTGAATGCTTAGTTTAATTAAATAAAAATAATGCCGAGGTGTTTTTAATGGTTTGATAATTTTTCAGGATATATGTTCTATTGATTGATATGGAAAAATTATTATATGAATTCTTAAGGAGGGTTAAGTTGGATGAAAAATTAGTCCAAGATGAGATTAATTATAAAAAGGGTTGGTTTTTGAATGGATTATTTCTAGAGAATTTCTAAAGGAGGTTAAGCGATCTTTGAGAAGAGGTTCAACGATGGGACTTTGAGGAGAGGGTGTTTTGGTAAATCTAAATGGGTTTTAAATCGAGAAAAGTTGTCTAAGAAAATGAATTTCTTATTAGGTTTCTTAAGATAATTCGTTTAAGGAAGAAAAGAAAAGTGAGAAAGATAGCCGCCGATATTCAAAGCTTCGCGCGATGAGGAGGTTCACGCTAGTGAGTAGGAGAGGAGGAGGTGTGTCCGTCGGAGGCGGGAGAAAGGTCGGGAACTCGACGATGACGATCACGGTTGTTGGTGGTAAAGCGATAGAGAGACCTCGACCCTATCCTCCTAGACGACCCGGGGTGTCGGTCGTTCGAAGTTGGCCACCGAATTATGGTCGGAGGAGGGACCTCGGGAATAATGGTGGCGAAGCTCCAACAACGGGGATCGTCGAAGAGGAACCGATAGAGGAGGAACCAACAGAGGAGGAGCCAAAGGAGGAAAAGCACTCGAAGCTTGAGCGTGAGAATCCGGACATCGACATGACTAAAGAGGTGAGTGTAAAGGGGGTAAAATCTCCGTCGATGTCTTTTAGTTCACGGCCAGACGTTGGAGTTAACGGTCTTACAGGACCGTGAACTGGAGCCATAACCCATGAAGCGAAGAGCAAACTGAGGGTGTTTCAAGTTACTGATACCCAGTCAGTTCATGATCACTAAGACCATGAATAGAGGCCACTGACCGTGAACCTGAGAAAATGAAGCGGTGCGTTTTGGTCGCGGCATTGAGTTCACGGACGAGTTTCGATCTCCCACTTAAAAGGAAAGCTGAAAGGAAGAAGAAAAGGGGGAGAGACCTAGAGTGAGAAACTTCTCCTTCTTCAGATTTTAGAGTGAGAAAGTGTCGAACCAAAGAAGAGGAAAAGCTAGAATTTCTTCTCCAAGCAAGGTTTTGAGAATTTCTTCCCTAAAGGAGGATTTCTTCGGCATAAGAAGCAAGGATCACATCTTCTTGATGGTTTCTCCTTCCCTCTCTTGTGTTTTTCCTTTTCCTAGCATGGAGTAGTTCCTTATTTCACTTGGGTGTTTGTAAATCCCAACAACAATTATGTGAATGCTTGTATGAATTGAATGATTTGTTTGTGGTTGTGTTTTAATGTGAAAGTGGAGGTATTATTCAGAAATGATTGTGTCGTGTGAATTCTAATTGCCATTCTAACCTAACTTAAAGAGGAGACCTCCTTAGGTTAGGAGTTTCATTGGGTGTTCTTGGGCATTTCATGCCTCCTAGGCTAGTTTAGAGAGGAAACCTCCTTAGATTAAGAGGTTCAATATTGAGATGGGGTTCTTGGTCATTTCATGCCTCGTAGGATAGTTTAGAGAGGAAACCTCCTTTACCCAAGAGGTTTGGTTTCCTTGGGCATTCAAAGCCTCCTAAACTAGTTTAGAGAGAACCCTCATTAACCTAAGAGGTTCATTTCGAGATGGGTTTCCTTGGGAATTCAATGCCTCCTAAGCTAGGTTAGAGAGAACCCTCCTTAACTTAAGAGGCTCTATTAGAGATGGTTTTCCTTGGGCATTATATGCCTCCTATTCTAGGTTAGTTAAAGGTCATAATTCACATTAGCACTTAGGGTTTGGTTGTGGGTGGTCGTCCGAACTCCCATTCGAGGGTGAAGTCTAACCATTCCTTAGTTGATAGGTTGAGAGGGTCACTTTAGTGGCTTGGATCGTATCCCTTTCCTCAACCTAAAGGCTAAGAGGGTAGTTTCGGCTGCTTGTTAGACTTCCCTGCGGTTTATGACCCCCTAACCACACACGATCGTTCGATTCTTCAAGTCATGATTGTTAGCTTGGGGGAGCAACACCAGGGTGAAGCTTTCTCAACTAGAGTCAAATCCATTTTACCTTTGCAAAGTAATTTAGTTTTAGACCTTTGTTTTCACCAAAACCAATCCGCTAGATAATCTTTCAAACAGTCGAAGTAGCGGTACATGCACCGACCCGGGTCGATATGTAAACATACTTGCCCTATATTGCACCCATATAAGGTAAAATGATGTGAGTCTTCTAGTAGCAAATGGGCAGAATATTTCGATTTGTGGAATGGGTGTGGTGCGGGACTCTCAACTCACTTTAGATAATACTTTACGTGTGACAAAGCTTGTTCCAAACCTTGTATCGGTTTGTCAGCTTACTGACAATGATTGTTCTATGGTTTTTGGACCCTTGGGCTGTGTAATTCAGGATATGAAGACATGGAGGCAGATCGGGCGGGGGAGTAAGCAAGGCCACCTATTTTACTTGGACGAATTGTCATCAACATCATCGTCTGATCCTTTGTGTTCTCCTTCAGTGTCTAGGTTGTTGTCATCTTTCTCCCCTTCATATGTCTTTTCTAGTTTAAATGATCAAACCTTACGTCTATGGCATTTACGCTTGGACACCCACATTCGAGTCGTCTTATTTCTATGGCTAAACAGAAGTTATTTGGTGATATTTCTATGGCTAAACAGAAGTTATCTGGCTCAGTTTTCATGTACTAGCTGTGTAGAGGCTAAGACAACTCATAGCACCTTTCCATCTAGTACTGCTATTGTTAATGATCCTTTTCATCTTATACATACAGATCTTTGGGGGACAAGTCCCGTGATTTCTCGTCATGGTTATCGTTATTTTTCCCTATTCATTGACCACGCTACTCGTTTCACCCGAGTATATTTTTTAAAACTTAAATTCGACCTTCTTTCTGTTTCCACTGATTTCTCACGATGGTCAAGACCCAGTTTGGTTCTCCTGTTAAACTTATCCGGTCTCATGAGGGAGGTAAATTTGGTTCCAATCCCTTTTTCGCTCCTTAGGCATCCTGCCGCAGAAAGCTTGTCCAGGTGTGTTGCAGCAGAATGGCATGGTGGAACGTACACAAGCATGTTAACTCACCCAAGCTCTCTTGTTAGCCTCACATGTCCCATCTCATTTTTGGCCCGATACTGCTGCTACTGCTATGCGTTTGATCAACTACCAAACTGCTCATATTCTTAGTCACATCGCCCCTACTTTGCCCTCTATAAGACTCAACCTAATTACTCACTTCTTTGGGTTTTCAGTTGCCTTTGTTTTGTTCTTCTCCCTCGAAAAGATCGTACAAAATTAAACTCCAAGACCTCGTGATGCGTGTTTCTCGGTTACAGTGATGTCCATAAAGGGTACCTTTA